ACAAAGATGTTGAACAGCGCTGGACCCAGACCAGACCCCTGAGGAACTTCACTTGTCAGTGGTCTCCATATGGACATCGAGCCACTGACCACAACTCTTCAAGTGCGCCCATCCAGCCAGTTCAATAAATAAGCATGAAAACCACTGATTCCAGGAGCACTTCTCTCTCTACCCTTCTTCCTATTTCTTAGTCCGATCACCTTAGAAGTGCATCCTCTGTCACATCTCACAGACGCTTACTGCTGTTACCATGAGGTTTCCTCTGTAGATTCCAGAAAACGTTTATAATTTATACTCAAATTGCACTAGCATCTTAAAGTCTAAAACAAGTTTATCAAGGCTCTGTTGCATCAGTCACAGTATAAATAATGAGACAGAGTCTGTCTCAGAGAGTTTATACAAATCAGTAAAAGTGAGAAGAGATTCCAATACATTTCTGCAGGTGGCCAAATTAAGTACGTACGACCATTCTGAAAAACACTGTATTAGAATGCAATTACAATATTGTAACATTAAGATATATGGAGGCTCAAAGTAGGAAATAATCCTAAATTTGGCATGTGCTAACTTCAGAATGCTTGACTTGGCAACCTAAATAATAATGTTTCTGTAAGAAGCTAGGTACAAATCTGGCATCAAGTATTACTTAAACCCTTCTTACTTTGACAAAGTGCATTAGAAAATCTTATGCCAAGCAAAATAAAGTGCATAACATCAATGACTTAGTATATATCTAGTGACATAGCATACAACTCAGTTATTCAGACTGTAAGGATCACTTATCTACCATTCATTTAAAGCAACATTGAAAGTGATTTACTGAGCTCTCAAATCTAAAACTTGAACAAAATTAAAGATAAGCAAACAGAAAGGTTGAAGTTGACAATACACTTAGTGTCATGCATAAACAGAAAAAAACAACAAAAACCAACTCATACCATTGCTGCCAAGCCCTCCCTTTCCTTCTTCATTTCTTCCCGCAGTGCTTCCTTTTCATCAGCCCTCTTACTTAGCTGGGCAGCTAACTCCCTTTCAAGACGATACTTCTGCCGTTCCATCTCGTTTTTTAGCTGATCACACTGGACTAGAGCCTAGAAGAAAAACACTTTTTTAGGTGGAAGAAACCTAAAATTTTAAACAAAGATGTTATTTATCGAATGCCTTCAGAGAAAACAGTTCACTATTAGAAAGAATGTCTTTTGGTTTTTTTTTTACATCTCTATTATGATGTTTATACAGACCTTACTGAGTTAACATCTAGAATAAGACTGACAAATTGAAAACAGATCTGTACGTTTATATGTATATACATGACCTACTGCAATTTAGAAATTTAATTGCTTTTAGGAGTCATGGCAAAGATGGAAGCAGTTTTCAAAGTGTATTTTCCAAATAAGTAGCTGTTCTAAAACTAAGATGATTTATTGCCTTACATTTAAAACTCTTGGAATCACTCTCCAACATTTGACTCCTTGCAAACACTGGTTATTGCCTAACCATTTCTATTTTACTCAAAGCCAGGCCTCTATACACAATTTCCTTAGTGTTTCCTTGGTGAGGGAAGCAATTTAAACTATTATTTCAGAGAGTGCCTTAACAGCCTCCACTAAGTTTACATCAATTCCACGGTACACCCCTCAGGGTATCTTTCCTACCACAGGTCTACCTTGGTGAGGCCATCTGTGTTGCTGCCTTGAACCCTTTCCTGTAGCAATGTATCATCAGCAAGCAATTGTCTGCATAAGACTGCTGCAGTTTGGTAGACATGTAAAACAATGCAACACTAGAAGTAAGTTGCAGGAAGAAATGTGTATTTTGTTTGCTCCCCTATTTTGACTTTGTAATGAGTAGTTCAAAAAGTCTTTTTTTAACATTAATGTTGAAAATACATTCCTGGATTTGCTTCAACTATGGACGTTTAATCTTACCAGATCTCCTTGCTCTATATAAGAGGCTAGAGGCCACAAACTAGAGAAACACCTGAACAACAAAAAAACCCAGTGGTTTTAACTTATAAGCTCCTGAGGTTAGGCCTTCTATCAATAGGGTGGTGAAATTGCAGTTCTAGCATTTGGAAGTCCAATGTGTTAACTTCTCACCTTTCTTACATGGACCATTCTACTCAATTCCACAATACTTACAAATTAAAACAGTACTTCACACTAAGAATAAAAATAGGACTGGAAAAATAAAGGATGGTTTGCACTTACCAAGAGAAATGCCAGCACATATAAAAATGCTAAATTAACATAATATAAGTAAAATATTTTTTCCTGTTCCTTCGTATTACAACAGTTTTTGAGCATGGAAAAAACCAGACTACAATTCAGTCCTGTATACAGATAGCACTTCACATTTCCTCACTGCAGTGAAGAGAGTGGCCACTCTACTGAGCTACTTTCTTTATTAGGTGGAAATAGTATAGACACAAAGACAGGTTTTATTAAAGGCTCTACTAGTTTTTCTCACTGTTTCATTCTCAGGCCACATTTCTAACATGAGTTATACTGAATAAGGATTTTCTTTTTAAATGTTAAAATAAAGACTTCCAACACCAAATTACAAAAGAAGAAGATCAGACAACTTCACATTATCACATAGAGGAGGAAAAGTTTTTGTGGAGTTTTAAATAACAGTAAGTAAATAACATTTATATCCAATAACCATAGAAGCCACCTCAAGAAAAGCAAGCAATTAAAAAATTTAACTCCTAAAGGACAGAATGTGACAGGTGAAGAGTGGGCTTAGAAGGATTCTTTACATATCCAGTAAAACCCAAGGAGCTGCAATACTCTGAAGTTAAATTTAACAAGTACATTGGATTTCCAACTCTCATTATTATTTTCCCCACTGATTATAGTTAAAGACCCTACACACACGTACTCTCTCTGACAGCATTGGATGAATAATACCAATTTGATCAACAGAACAATTGTATCAATTATATCAATCTTGTCCACTATTAAAAAACAAATGCATTTCATTAAAAAAACCAAACATCCCTCTCAATTCCACAGTAATTCACTAATAATACAGTAGATGTCACTAAATATCAAGGAAATAATTTAGGGCAATATTGTTTGTTTGTATATGATAACTAGAGCAAACTAGATCAAAACTGATTTAGTCATTATTATTTATATAGCACCAAAAACTTCCTGTAGGTAGCATTACACAGACTTCTCATCTTCAAAGAGTTCTGTTAGCTAATCAGTTCTTGCACTGTGCTTGTCTGAGGCAAAAGATTTGTTTGTAAGCATTTTAAGCACTCTTTTGAGAGTAGCTCAGAAATATGATATAAGAATTATAGTCCTACATGTCATGAATGCCTTTGAAAATTCTACCATTCAATTTCTATCACTTAGCTGTGAAACTACATCAGAATTTAAATGTCGGCCTAAGAATACAACACACCCTACAGCTTTCATGAGTATTTAAGAACTCAGACACAGAGTTCATGTTACTGCTCAGAAATAGTCACACTGTCCAATCCATATTAACATGTGATAAAGGTCTTAAGTGTTTATTCTCTCATTAGTATGAAAAGTAATTAACATTGGCAGTAGATCTGAATACTGGAAAGCTCTCATTTCTTGATGAAAGTACCTTTGTTTTTTCTAAATTGGCCTCTTCTGCCATTTGCACAGCTTGTTTAACTTGCTCACAAGCATTAGATTCTCTTTGCTGCATCTCTTTCATGTTTCGTCTCAGTGAAACAAGTGCATCCATCAAGTCATCTCTTTCCCTGCATACAAAGAAAAAACAGCTATTTCTTCTACATCTTTTCTCAGGAGAAAAAAACACAACAGGTATATCAAACATAAAATGTTAACAGATAAAAGACATAAAGATGGTAAATAAAGCAACACTAAAACCACCACGGGTTAAGAGTGAAAGACAGCACACGATTAGCTTGGCAGAAACTGAAAATATCATTTGCTTGATAACCAGTCCTCCCCTTCAGAAGGATGGACCATCAGTGAAACTGCCAGTAATGACAGCAGAGGTCAAGTCATAAATACACTGAAGCTGAACAACATTCTGTTGGCATTACAAAGTAGGGATACACACTAAAGTAACAAAAAGGGCATGTTTTTGAGAAAACAGATCAAAGTAATCTGAAATTATACTGTGATAAAACATAAAATAGGGAGAAAAATAAAAGGAAGGGTGAGGTTCAACAAGCAATTCAGATCACTAAGTATATCAAATGAAAATTAATAGCACTTTGCTGCAAACTGGAACTAAACTAAACAGTAAGATTTCTGGGTTCTACTTCCCCACTGAACCAAGACCTATACCAAACGGTAAAACACAGTTAGTAAAACTCTAATACTTAACTTCACCTTTTCATTGTTTTGATATGTTCAAAGCTTTTAAATTAGGATTATAGTTGTCTGTTGTTTAGGTGCAGCTGGAGATTCTGGTTGGCAACCGTTGTGTTTGGGTTTGCTGGGTTTATTTTTCTTCACGTTGTGCGGAATGGTAACACAGTTGTATTTGCCAGAGAACTAGCAGTCATATTTTAAAATTTCACTTCAAGATTTGGGCAAAGCCCCTTTGAAAATCGCTACTGGAATATCTTTGTTTTTAATAAGTTACATGAAAGAAAGATGTAGTTTTCAGATTGTTTTAAATTTCAAAATGAAATAATGGTTTGAGAAAGATAAACAGGTCAGCTCAGATTTTTTATTTCAAACTACACTATAATAAAAGATGACAAGATACAGTGTGTTCATATTTTCTAGGACAAATAACAACTTTTCTTACAGAAGTAGATTTTGAAACATTACAGCAACAGAGAGCTTTCCCAGCCAGCAGAAAAACACATACATCCCAGCAATAGTCAGCTAATATGTAGGGATAGTATCCATTTGACAGGCAATATGTACTACGTTCCTGCAGTCTTCTTGCTTCTAATTGACTACCTCATCTCTGGCAGGCTCATTCTGAAACTTCAGAAATCCTAAGAAGCTTCAGATATCTGACAATAAACAGATGTCTGTTTAACAAACTCTGAAAAAGCTGCAGTATCCTATCATTATTACTAGCAAGTAGAAGATGATCAACTAGCAGAATTTCTTATGAAAAACACATTTTAATGCTCTTCGAATTTCTTTATTATTTATATTATATACAGTCTGCATAGCTTTTTAAAAAATCACTTAAATGAAAGCTACATTATAAAAAAGGCTGCAACAAATAAATTATTTTTTACCAAAGCAATTTTTTCCCTTGACTTATTGTAGTCAGGGAGGAGCAATGCATCCTGTCACAAACACCTGACCTCCTAACCAAATTCAAGGAGAAAAGAAAAAAAACCACCAGAACATAGTACACTGCTGATGTATCCTAGAGGTTCCCAAATGTAAGGACAACAAAGCGGAGGAAGAAAAATGTCCAACTACAGAAGGATAAAGAAGTTTTGCAAGAAATAATAATGCAAAATACAGGGACTTCCATAGCTATTGTTCTGATAGAGTGAAAAGTTTGTGCAAAAAGTGCGGGAAACAGACTATCAACAGTCTGATTATCTGGACAGCAAAGGTAATTACAAGATAACGACTAATATATTTTCTAGTTGAAATGAATAGCAAACCACCTTGGATTTTGAATTGGTTGGGACCTATGCTCTTATTCCGACATAGATTTTAGAATTATAACTTCAATTTTTTCATTTTTCTTTAAGTGTGCATGTCTACAAAGGCAACACAACAGAGACTTATGGTTTAATGTAAACAACCGTACTTCTAATGAGAAAGTAAATAGCTCCCAAACCTACTTTGTTACCCTCTCGATGGTCTGCATGTGAACATTAGAATGAGTCTGCGCAAGAACTGCCTCGTGTTGTGCACATTTCAGACACAGACCACCAACTCGGCTAGAATTCGTGGCTGAAACGAGTGACTTCTGGTGTTCCAGTCTTCCTTCCAAATCTCTGCATGTCTTCTGAGATTCTGAAAGGTCTTTTCTAGAGTGAAGAATCAAAAAATATTACTTATGCAATCAAATATTTCTACAAGTAATATATGCAATAGATAATTATAGATGTAACCCAAAAAAAAAACTGTTAAGATTTCCTGTAGCAAACAAAATTTTACACATTTCAGCAGGCTAAGGAAGACTTTAAGGGAGAAGTAATACTTGAACTGCCCAACTGAAATTATTAATAGGCAAAATAAAATTACATAGATTTGTTTCTTCCCTCTGCAGTATCAGAAAATAGTGAAGCTACACTGAAAATTATTAGATAAAACTTGAAGGCTTATTGACTGAACTGAAAAACAGATAAACACTATCAGCTATATAAATATTTCAGTATCCTATCCAACATTTTTCCTGTTGTTCTTATTAATGGTATCACTAACTTGGCATTTCTTCTCTACTCTCAAATTAATGGTAAAGTTACCGTATGAGGTCCCCTATGCTCCCTAGACAAAACCCAGATGTACTCCACTCTGCTCCAGCAATACAAACAAATCTGAGGTCAGCCACGTTTCCAGAATATCAGACTAAGGTTTTTACTTCTCTCTGAATTTTTACCAGGTGCTCTGAAGAATTTTCTCCAGAACTTCCAAGCAGCTGTCAGGCCAGGAAGAGTGCAAGCAGTAGGACTGCTGACATCAGGAAGTTCCAGGCAAACGCACACTGTGCACATATAGATCAATTTGACAAATCGTGCACTGAATCCAAAGCTTTTGGTTTGTTATGCAGGCCATCTGGGCAGCACACACATAGTAAGTCTGACACATTCTGGTCGCATTGGATTTACCGTGCACATGATATATACACTGCATGCATGCTTATTTCCATCTGGGAAATCTGTGCATTTTTTCCAATTTTAGTAGTTGGTCTATTAAATATAATCCCCTATAACCTGAACAGAATTTGCTCTGCATACATCCTACAGACAGTCTTGGTACAACAGACCTATTGTTGAGAAATCTTGGAGAGAACTCAGAATCCTATGTAAATATATGTTCAAAGTTAAAAACAAGGATAGTCTCACTGAAAGTGATGTAATTTCTCACTTTAGTTGAAATTTAGCAAGTGCTCAAGTGCTTTGTAGAACTTATAGTTTGAAAAATCATGCCTCTTAGCAGAAATCAAGAGGCTGAATAATGTACTTGTGGAAATTCTTAAGAGTTCTAATCTCCAATATTCATTTATCCATACATATAACACTTTGTTATATATATATACATAGCCAAGTGGGGGGAAAAAATTAAAATTGGATTACATAGCTGAAATTTAAGATCCTCCTTTACTTTCACTAACACAATTGGCTTTGCACATTTAAGATTTTATGACTGCAGAGAGCATATTTAAACTTGCCTCCCTACGAGTAACTCTTTCTACACACACACAAAAGCCTAGAATTTCCAGATATATAAAACCACAATTAACTTAGGGAAAATATAAATAAAGAGATTCAGTAGTAGTATCATGAACACAGGGAGAAGTTTACTCCTGAAAACCATATTCTAAAATGCTTGTTGTCTTAACCTCTATTTTTCTATAGTTTGCTACCTATTCAAACCTTTAATACTCTAAGGAGTATATGATAACTTATTTTCAACTATCTTTGCATTGAAAGATACGCAGGTTACATGGCTGGAAACACTGCCCGCATGCTTCAAAACTAAGTTTTCCAGCTCCAAAATCGTTACGTAGCCTAAACTAGTTACTAAGCCTAAACTGCTTAAGATTTGGAGGTTGGATTAAATGATCTCTAAGGTCCATTCCAGTCTAGGCCATTCTATGATTTTATGATTTTAAAACTTGCAATATAAAATATTAATAGAAGAAAGTGAACTATGGAAGAGCTCACACAAGTCAAAATTTTAACGCTTGGTTTTTCTTTGATTGGTATACCTTAACAGACATGATGTTTCTATAAAGAAAAAGGTTTAAAAGGATAAAAGACATTTTATATCAAGTTGTAATTTCTATAAATACAATAATTCAACTGAAGATATAAAATTTATATTGCTAAAGTTGCTATATATTAGCAGAACATTTAATTTTGCTACATTTATATTTGAGAAAACTTCATGTAAAACCAGCTTCCAGAGGCATCTATCAGAAAACACAGAATTCAGATATTGAGGCATTCTCTTACTTAAATTCAAAATAAGAGTGGTCCGTGTTGTTATGACGTGATAATTTATTCAAATAATTCTAAGAAAAAAAAATCAGTTTACCTTAGAGACTGTATTTTAGCATCAAGGATATTGACTTTTTCTTCATAAAGAAGTTTTAGTTTCTCCTTTGGAAAAGATGGGAGAAAATAAGTGTCTTTTCCTTTCCTTATAATATTGTCTTTACAAATAGATCTAGACATTAGCCATATTAATTCTTTCTGTACGAAGATATAAACTTCTTGAAATACTAGTGTCAGAGAAATCAAAATATTTCACACTTGTGAAAGTCTACAAAATGAATAACCCTCCCATTTTCTTATTTGTATACATCTGGGAAGATCCTCATATAGTAAATTCCTTCAGCTACAACTACAACCCTATACAATGATTTACACAAATTGACGATCTCGTCTTGAGTTTGCTCTTACTCTCAGTAGAAATAAAAGAGGAATTCTGAAGAACTTCAGGTAGACAAGCTATTTATTTATAATATAGTGAGTTACTTTTATTACTTTGTGAAGAACTAGATATATAAATTACCACACCAATGTTAAATACAATTGTGATAATAAACCAGATAAAGCACCAGAAATTTAGCTCACTATGATGCTTAGAAAGAAGTCACAATCAATACGATTCTCATAAATATGGCAGATGAAGTAAAATGCAATTACTGTAAAAACTAGCTTTCAAACAGCTGCAGGAATTAAGGATTACTGAAGAGGTTTTCAGCTATATGATGCACAAACTCAAGAAAAATATATTTTACTGGGAAAAATCCCCATAACATATAATTACATTTAAGATTCAAAAGTATTCTTTCAATTCCACAGTACCCACATGCACACAGATAAAAGTCATCAAAGCCTTCAGTTAGCATTGTTATCTTTTGGGAAAAACATGGGTATCTCATTAATTTAGAGTAAAAAAAAAAATGAGAACATCTTCCCAAAGTAAAAATACAGGACAGAGACAACATGATCTCTGAATCACTAGGGCTCCTCTGTATCTCTAAAAGTGCAACACGTCTAATTCAGCTTAGGGAAAATCAGCTGGACAAAGCTATGACTGTACATTACCGACCCCTGCGCTGCTCCAGGAGCAGAAAGGCTCAGAGCTTTCCTGGAAGACTACCTGAATTACATGAGCTAGTTCCCACCTGCATGTGCATTGTGCTACTGCTAAGAATTTCCAAAGTACAGCAGAGCCATCACAGTATGCTAGGGATTGGAAGGGACCTCAAAAGATCATCTAGTCCAATCCCCCTGTCAGAGCAGGAACACGTAGATGATGTTACACAGGAAGGCGTCCAGGCGGGTTTTGAACGTCTCCAGAGAAGGAGACTCCACCACCTCCCTGGGCAGACTGTGCCAGTGCTCTGTCACCCTCACTGAGAAGAAGTCACTGGCAGGACATTCTTAAAACAAGACTTCTCTCTGGGAAGTCAACATCTTCAGATATAACCTGCCATCTGTGTCTAACTGGATAATAAAATTAATTAGGGTATAATGAAAAGATGCAGTTTAAGAGAAAAAAATTTGGTCTCAGATTAAGGTTCAGTCAAACAAAATTCCTCTATGTGTGTTCCAGAATTAATCATCAGAACTGCAGCAACAACAGAACACCAAAAGGTTTGGCAAAGGTATGACCGCAAAGAAAGTTAATACCAACCAGTTCTACATGCCATTTTTCTATTTCTCCGTCTGTTGCTGTAACAAAAGGCTGATCTTTGTCACGTGCTGGTGATGAGGTGACGAGCTGATGCATGCTACAGTCATTAGCACCTACAGGGCAGGAGTTCTGCATATTTGCCTAAAATAAAAATATTAATGCTTCAGTGATAATTATGTAGGCTATTTTTTTTAAACAAATGTTAATTATAGGCGTACTGAATCTTATAATTTTAATTATGGCAGAATATAAGAAGTAATAAACAAGTTAATTAAGAGGGCAAGCTACAATAATGATGTTATCCACAGAAATCTAGGTTTACAAACTGTCATTAAATTTTGACTAAAATTCAGTTTTCAGATTACCATTTATACAGTCTTCCTTAAAAAGAATCAGGTCCTTGAACACTGATTAAAACAACAACATAAAAATAAAAACTTACCGAGGCATCTATAAGAGTTTGTTCTCTCAATGTATGTTCCTCAGTTAAGAATTTCAGTTTCTGGTGGAGTTCCTCATTTTCAAGTACAACTACTTGTACTCGATTTTTCACCCCAGACAATTCCTCCTAAAGGATACAGGAACTGCATGTAAAAAACTCCTTGAGACAACAAGTCTAGATTAACATGTTCAAGTATTTTAACCCTTTCAGAGAGAATAAGAATACTCAGAAGACAGGTCTCACAGTTTTGTAGCTTAAATTTCCATATATCTTCTTTTTAAAAAATGCTTATTTTTTATTTGAAATAGGATGTAAAAATGTCTTTGAAGACCCTCAAACACTATGCAGGCTTCAAGATGCACAGTAAGGCTCAATATCTACTGCCAAACTGCGTTTGGCTCAGTTTTGGTCATTACAACAATCAACCATAAGCCTAAGTGTAGGCTGGTTTTAAAGTAATTCTTCGTATTTAGGGGACTAGGGTTTTAGTAGTTGAAATAAGTTGTCTAATACCTTGCAAAACTTCACTTCTGCTTCTAGATGGTTTATGTACTGTGACTGATCATTGATTATAGGAACGAGATCAGAAAGGGATAGTAAATCTCCAGTTGCAGCTTCTGTGGGTTTCTGAAGGAAGTAAAGAAGAGCAAGTGTTTGCCATTTATTGCAGTAAGATGTTGCTTATACACAGAATACTATATCCACTTAATAAAAAGTCACCAACTACTAGATCATGAGAAGTAAATATGTCAGTTCTGTCAAAATGTACAACTGCTTGAGTAATCACAGCTATAAAGCAGGATTAAATCATAACCACAAACTGATTCGTAAATGAAATTTATATCCCTGTTTAAGTGTATCATCCCTTTAGACAAATGTAGGGAGCATTTTCTTCTCTGTGAAACAAATATAAAAATCCCTTGAATTTTAATGAGTTGTGGATGTGCACCAAAAGCAATTCCTCCAAACATTTATTAACAGTTGCCACAGAAAATTATGTTTGGAATTTTAATACCTGCATAGAAACACAGGAAAATGTGTAATAGATATTATATTTATCAAAGAACATAATACCTAACTATCCAACCTTTGAAGGTAAAGACAAAATCTACTATGTGTAAGAGACTGTGTTAAAAACGTTT